TCTCCCGGCAAGAAACCAGGAAAATTCTCTGCCTACATAATTCACTATGAGAGGAAACCAAAATACTGTCACGATCAACGACGTAAACGGATCCCAATCATCAAGAGTAGAACCTGCGTCCGGCAGGGTCGGAAGTAATGCCCACTCGGTCGTCATCAGGCGAAATCCTTACAACCGTCAAGCAAAACGATTCTCGTCCAAGAACCTATTTCGTGCTGGTACATGAAATATAAGAACGCTCCTAGAAACTGGTGCGGCTACCATCCTCGTCTCAGAACTTGAGAAAGCAAAGATCAACATGATGGCTCTCCAAGAAGTACGCTGACCCGGTATCGGCGAAACAACATGTGGCTCTTATACAATTTTATGGTTCAGTCCAACTGTTGGCGCTCAACAGTCTGCAGGAGTGGCTCTTGCACTCGATCAGACCGCCGTTGCAGCTATGATCTCATGGTACCCAATCAGTGAAAGACTGTTGACGGCCAAATTCAAACACAACCTCGGCTATCTTTGAATAATAGTAGCGTACGCCCCCACGAACGAGACGAACGACATTGACAAAGATGCCTTCTATCAGCAAATTGAACAAGCAACGAAGACGATACATCAAAGCGACCTCATTGTCTGCTTCAGTGACTTCAACGTTGTCACGGGAACATCAAGAATCAATATGGAACACGTTATCGGCTCGTATGGATGCGGCACTCCAAATGACAACACATAGAGGCTACTGAACTTCTGTTTGGGAGCTGGCCTAAGAATCGGTGATTCATGGTTCAAGCGTAAGGATATATATAGGTACACATGGTTCTCAAACGACGGGGTGACCATCAAGAAAATCGACCACATTTTGCTCAACACTAAAAGATCCGCCCTGCAAAACTGCCGTGTCTATAGTAATCTGGAATTCGACACAGATCACCGACCTGTAATCGCTGCGATATCGCTGAGGCCAAAACGCACAAGCGAAAAAAAATCACACGCATTACGTTATAACATCAAGAAGCTGCAAGATCCTGCAGTGCAATTTCAATACGCAGTGAACATAAGCAACCGTTTCGTCGCACTAGCAGCCGAAGAGACCTCAAACTGGGACAGGTTCAAGGAAACATTGAACGATGTGGCAGCCAAGCAATTAGGTACGCGCAAACAAATGAAGAAGTCGTGGGTCGGCGACACCACCCTCATATTGGTTGAGAAAAAGAGATAAGTAAGACTTCTCAACGAGCATGACGAGTACAAAACATTGAACAAACAGTGCAAAGCAAATCTAAAATTGGATCGACAACAATGGACTGACAACATGGTGAGAGATTGAGAGGCGGCACTCATCGCAGGTGAAGTGAGGGACGCATTCTCTAACTTTCGACCCTTAGCTAAGGCCATTCGACTCGTCAGCAGCCCAATCCTCGACGCAAATGGCAGCCTAATCAGCAACAAATCACAACGCTAGACTTTTCAACCGACCCAACGCACTCGACTCAGAGGAACTGACTACCGCTGCCCAATCGGCCATCGAAGATCCAACCAACAATGAAGGAAGTTATCAACTGTCGGAATAAAATGGAAACCAGAAAAGCACCTGGCATATGCAATATCACCCCGAGATGATGAAAGCTGGAGGCGTCGACTGTAGTATCTGGCTAACCAATATCTTCCAGGATGTCTGACCTTCCGGAGTCATCCCATCGGATTGGAAAAAAGGCATTATTCTGCCATTCTACAAAGGAGAAGATAACAGGCAGGAGTGCAAAAACTACAGAGGCATCACATTACTGTCCAGCCCCGGCAAACTGTTTGCGCGAATTCTGTTGTCAAGAGTGAAGATCTTGCTTCTGGTCAAGTGCAGGAACCAACAAAGCGGCTACAACCCAGGCCGATCAACGGTAGACAGAATCTTCACATTACTTACTCTGCTTCAAACACGGCGCAAGTACAACCGCCACTCTGGATCGCCTATGTCGACCTCAAGGCAGCGTTCGACTCGATCGATTGTAACGCTCTTTGGCTTATACTGACAAGTCTCGGTGTTCCCAAGAAAATCGTCGACCGAATGAGGGAACTGTATTCTGACACATTCAGCTGCATTCACGTCGACGGTCAACTATCCGATTGGTTTAAAGTCAAAAGCGGCGCTCGCCATCGGTGCGCAATTGCCCCGGATCTGTTTCTGGCACCAATGGACTGGGTGCTCCAACGAACGGTATGCCGAGGGCTGGCTGGTGTTACACTGGGTAACGAAGTATTCACCGATTTGGACCTTGCGGACGACGTGGCACTTCTACCTGAGACTGTAGAAGCACTTCTGCTGGCATTGAAGGTCATGCAGCATGAAGCTCGCCCGCTGGGCTTAGAAATCAACTGGCCAAAGACAAAAATTCAAGAAACCGGATCCGAACTGACTAACAACAACGTACTATCTATACTCGGCCAAAATGTGGAAGTGGTCGACTCAGTCGTCTACCTAGGTTGCACGAGCCAGCCCTCGGCATACCG